ACACACACACACACACACCTGAGAGTGACCATGTTGCCCAGCTCGGCGGGCAGACTGCGGAGCTTATTGGACGACAGGTTCAGGTAGACCAGGTTGGGCAGCTTGGCGATGTCCGGCGGGATGCGGGTCAGGTTGTTGTCGTTGATGTGCAGCGTGGTCAGGTGGGTCAGGGTCCACAACGAGCTGCTCAGACTCCTCACCCGGCCTGCCCCGAAACAAAAACACAAAACACTCCTGCGCTTCAGCTCAAAGCCTCTTCAAGGGGCGGGGCTTTAAAGTGCCTGTGACATGCCTAACCATCAAATACAGTCAAAGAAAACACTTTTTTATATAAGAAACCTTGCATAAATTGTGATTTTCACCCATTTGAACACACAAATGGCATATTTTATTTTGAACTTGGCTCAGCCAAAGTGAAACAGGAAGTGACATCAAAGGGGAGCTCTTTAAGAAATAGAACTCTCTGGTCTTTGTTTATTAAAATTTTATTATTTTAACTCTGACTCATCGTCATCTCTCTGATGACTCAAAATAATCTAAAGAAACATCAGATTCTTCTCTACAGCCTGTGTAATTAGTTATTTTATCAATGCTTTATCCATGCAGACATTCCCCTTTGACATCACTTCCTCTTACTTCAAATGCAAATATCTCAATAACTGTTCATCTCAGCAGCGGGAATTTATTTTTGCAATATGTTATCTTTCCAATAATGCCTTTTTATTTATTAAAAAATTTCATGTCACAGGCATGTTAAATAAATGCAGTTGGGTTTGTTCGGACTCACCTGAGATCTCGAGCTCCGCCCAGTGAGACTTCTTCCCGCTGGCCACGTCTTCGGCCGACATGATCGTGTAACATCTGCGGGGATCTGGAGGGTCATATTTTTCCTTTGGCATACCTGTTAATCTGAAAAAACAAAACAGGAGCAAGAATTACCGTCTAATTCGCTAAACACTTTTAAAAAACTGCCATTTAATGTGTTTCTTTACTGTCTTTTCATTCTTTCGTTAACCTTGATGCGGCTCAGCGGAGGAACACGCCCTCACAAATTCACAATGAACTCACAACCATAGGGATGTAAGAAAATATCGATACACTGAAATATCGCGATATTTCATTTCCCGATACTGTATCGATATTCTAAAGCCCTGTATCGATTTTTAATTAAGGTTTAAAATGTCAACTTTCCTGCCAACCGTTCATTTTTATGTTGTAGTTCAGCCTCTGACCACTAGTTGTCAGCAGTGAGCCAGACATTTGGCTAATCTACTTATAAAGAG